TGGATTAAAGCACTTGTAGTGATTTAGGACTAATGCTAAGAATGCAATACCTGAACTGTCGTTTTGTTTTCTTTTTTTTTTTTGTGGGGGGACAGAAAAAGTGTCAGATTCAGATGTGATGTCTTCCACCATGGCTCTCCATCAATCTGTTGTTTACCGTAAAGCGGGGCGTGTCTATTTGACACAAAACAATGAGCTTGAGCGGAAACACCCAATAGTCCCAGAGGAAGACGTGATGAGGACAGCGGCTGCGTTCCTGATGCTGGCTTCATACAGGAATCAGTGCCTGCATGTTTTTGTGCGTCCTGCCCTGCTTGCTTTGGCCATGAGTATCAGAAAAAGCACAAAGAAAGGTGTGGAGGTTAAAATGATGTGAATTCATTTACTGCTTCTTGTAACTCATGTTAATGGCTCATTGTCTGTTCACAGATGAGCTCCTCACATGCTTCTGCTTCCTGCAAGAAGTTTTTTCCAATGAATTCGTTTTCATTCCTGGCAAATCTTCTCAGGTAAATCCCCTTGTTTTTAGCACAGATGTTGGTGATTCTTTAAATTAAAATGCTTGTATTAAACTCAACATGCTCTCATGGCAGAAACTATTGAAGGGGGGGAGGGGACTCCAAGGATTTCCACAAATTTTATTTTAGTATTTTTTTATTTTTTCCATGAACACATGTTTTTTTTTTTCCCAATATATAGGACTTTGATGAGGCATGCTCTCTGCTACACAAATGTAAAGCAGTCCATGTCAGTGAGGGGGAAGTGACGGATTCAGACGCAGGACTGGAGGTGTTGTCTTTCCTGCAGGAGCTGCTGAAACCCTTCACAGAGTCCTATCAGGTGCCCTTAACACTCTGTCACTAATTAGGATAATGGTATAGGTTTATTTCAGTCATTCAATTCAAAAAGGGTAACACAGGTAAATGCACAAAGTGATGCATTTCATTTGTTTGTCTTATAAATCTCAATTTTTTTTTTTCAAAAAGCAGAAATAAAAAGGGGATTTTTTTAAAAGTAGCATATTATGTTAGTGAGTATGCCAGAGGATCTAATATGTATTTTTATTTTTTTATGAGCAGCTGATGTTCAGATTTCTCTGTGAGGAGACGGACTGTGTTCTCAGAGAGAAAGACTTCCTGTCTGGTGTGCGAACTCTGGCTACAAAACTCATCGTCTCAGGTAAAAATTTAAAATAAATAAATAAATGACAACTGCCCTCCAGCTGATCCCAAATGAGTTTGTTTTCGGTCTTTTTATTTATTTTTGTTTTTAGGGGAACTCCACACCTATGAAGCCCTCTCATCGGACATGCAGAAAAACGTTTTGTCATCGCTGCGGAGGCTGGGGGCCGTCACTAAGATAAAGATGTGAGTTAATGAGATCAGGACTTGAAAATCTGTTTTATTCAATTTAAACTTATTTTATTTGGTGGTTCAGAAATTGTGTTATCACAGCAGTTATTCAAGATTTGTTTCTTCCCTGATTGCAGTTCTGAAAATGAGTATAAAGTGAACAAATCAGCTGTGAGAAGAACTGGAGACATGCTTGGTAAGTGTAGTAAAAGCTTTTATTTTATTTATTTATTTTTTAATGATTTGACTTCAAGATTACACCCTGATACCTTCTGGGTATTGTTTTCTTGCTGCAGCTGGAAGAATCCTTCCTCATATTGTCCAAGCTGCACCTGATGCCAGAATGTAGTCTCAGCTGGAACTGATCCACTTTTATCACTAGATGGCTGATTTCTGCTCTTCTGGGCCTCTACATATTTTTATACCTCCCTTCTAATGCCGGAAATGTTGAACTAAACTTTGTACCAGTGTGACTGAACAATTGCTGCTTAAATGCAAACTAGGGATAGTAAGTCAATGAAAACAGTTAAATGAATACATAACTTTTTCATATTAATCATGTTTTAATGGGTTTTTTTCATTGTGATTTAAAAGGTACATGTTTTTACTCACTTTTTTTTCCATCATGCAAAATTATGTCAGAAACCACATTTTTAAAAATACAGCTTAGTGAATGTCAAGATATCTGAAACTACTAGTTTTTGTCTAATAAATATTTATAAAACTGTCATAAATGTTATATATTCTAATTATGTTAACAAGGAATTAAGGATATTTTTAACCAGCATTCTCGGTTCTCTAATTTTCTTAAATGTATGTTAGATATAGTGTTGACTGACGGTGAATGAACAACACGGCACTTTAAAAATAAACCAGATTAATTAAGCCAGTCACTGTAGAGGTCTTGAGTTGTGCTTTTAGTTACTTTTTTTCTGCTTTGGGTGAATGGAGGTTGATGTTACAAGATGTATAAAAACAAACTGAGCAAGGTTTTTCCATACATTATGGGTGAACATTGACCTTCCAGAGGTTTTGACTTGATTTAATTGCCATTATACAACTTTGGACTAGCACCTTTTAAGATAAGATCTCAACTTTGATTTGTTTGAGAGATTTATTTTCATTTCAACAAAATTGAAACGGGTATAACAAAACGCACCATAGGAAGTGGTCCTCTTCCATAGCCAAGCAAGATGGTTGATTGCAGTAAGTTAAAGCCAGTGGTCAAAGGTGTCCCTGCTATCGGATCAAACCCATCAAGTGTACCTTTAACCTGTGACCAGTTCAGAGAAGGCCTCTTAAGTGCTACTTAAGCAGACAAAAGCTTATCTGTACACAGGTGGCACGTCCACCTTGATGCGTAAAGCGCTGACGGGGTCTTGACAGAACACCGAGATGTACTCCAGCACTTTGCAATTCAGCTTCTTCTCGATCTCCTTGGCCCTGACTCGCTCCTTGTCCCACCGCTCCTTCTCGCCGTTCATCTGGGAGAAGAGGTTGATCTGGATGGTGCGCAGCGTTGCGGCCAGGATGTAAAAGCCTCCCTGCAACATGTGGCAGAAGGCGGCGCCCACACTGAGCGCCGCGCCCATCAGGTTGGGCACCGTCTCGCACACCACGCACAGGCCCTCCAGGAAGTGCAGCGTGCCTTTCTTGGCCAGCGGCTGTTGCTGGTGCAGGTATCCGTGTTGGAGGGACGGGCTCTGCTGGGCATGACTGAGCAGGTGCCGCGCGCAGTCGGCGAAGTGGGTGGCGGCCCTGCGCAGCGGGAGCAGGGCCAGGTACAGGTGGCAAGCGGCTTTGGTGAGCGCATGGAAGAGCAGCCGCAGCTCAAGCACGGCGTTACCTGGAGTTAAGACGGGAGCCGGGTCAGATGGAGACTAATTTAACTGTGACTAGTGTCACAAACCATTACAAACAGTGTCTGCTGCTGGATTAAAGGCTGCTCAGAAAAACCCATGCTGCTGCTGTCCATGCAGAACAAAACAGCTAATATTACAATTTTAAAAGAATTCACTAATTTTGAGTTTTTCCAATAAGGGTGTATTTTTATTCATTTTTTTTACTTGAATAACACTGCAATATTTTAAACTTTAAAATGTTCTTGTTCAACTGGTTCTAGTCACACAAATAGGAAGCACAGATCCACTGTTTGTCAGATGAAATTGATTTAATCAGAGTAAACCCATTTATAAGATTCATTTATTTGTTTTACCTTCTAATATCAACAATAATTGCAGCCAAAGAAAATCAGCAGCCTTGCCACATCACTAAGTGAAACTCTCATGTCTGACAGCTTTGACCTACCGTCTATGAAGCAGAAAATCCAGAGTAGGGCGATACTCGCTGCCAACCAAGTCCACAGATCCATGTGGCCTCCCCCCTGTCCCGTCCCGGATCCACCGACAAAAAGAAAGTAAAGAGGTGAAAAGATATGCTGTGACCTGGCCAAGCCCTGCACCGCCTGTCTGTGCGCAGTTAATACCCAAACATGTCACAGGCGCTCTCTCTGAAGGTGTCCAAACGGTCACCTAATAAGAACTCCTTAGCATTAAGACCTCAGACCTCCTGCAGGCTGTCTCGACTGCCTGCTTCCGAGGCCTGCAGCTCTGAACAATCTCCAACCACGAGATCTATCCTTGTTGTCTCTTTTGTTTTGAAGTAAAACGATCTGCTCCGTCGCTGAATAAATGCATCCTTACACATGTTGATGTCCAGGACTCCATATTCATAGCTAGAGTTTTAATGTTGATGTCTCGAAGGTGTTCAGTTTGGTTCCTAGGCTGTGCAGGCATATCCTTTCAATAAAAAAGTACTGACAAATTTTCATCAATCTTTTTATTTTTTCATGTAGACAGGCTGGGATGACCATCTTCAAATGATAAACGTCAACATCAGCCAACTCGAAGAGCTTGGTTGTTTGTGTTCTCAGTGTTTTAGTTTAGATTCTCATCCTATTATTAGTCTTCAGTGCTTTTCTGCACTTCTCTTATATGGAAGATGCAAAGAAAAGGAAAAACAAACGATACAGATTTCTCCTTTTGTTTTTAATTAGTTTTGATCCTCTATACCCTTGTGTGCATTTCACTGTTGACAATCTGCCTCAGGGCAGCTGCGCCTGCAGTAGGTCAGTCACCTGTGTGTGAATGTGTACACAATGTGTGAATGGGAAAGACTATTTCATTCTAAAGCAACTTTGAAAAGATCAATACAAGTCTCATGTCATTTCATTAATAGTAATTTCCCCTCAACTCCTTTGTTCAGGTTCTCTTCCAGCTGCAATGTAAAGTATTCACACCTGGTTTATATGGAAGCCCATATAAACAAATGTATAATTTGCCTAATTTGTTTTCCCCATACAGACAAGCCCAGTTTTTATGCATTTTTTTTTTCCTTCAGGAAATTAATTCTGCTTGTCAAAATGGACAAAATGCACAATCAATTTATTTTATTTGTATTTAAAAAATGTAAATAAAACTGATGTTAAATATTGACTAAACAAAAGAACAATGCAATTTAGGCATTTAATACAAAGCGCGCGCTTTATATGTAAACGGGTCCGTCCGGTTGTTATGCAGAAACGCGCGTGCCCACGAGGCCCAATCAGATTCAAATCCAAATCCTTTCAGGTGCGTTCCGCGGTCGGCATGGTGACGGAAAGCCTCCGGTTGGTAGGACACTTGGAGGCTGAAGAGAAGCTCGGCTCCTTTCTCCTTCCTATGCAAGTTAAAGTCTGTTCTGAGACAGTCGGAGCAGTCGGAAGCCGCACGTAAGCTCTAGCCCGTGTGAGAACGTTTCCATTTAATCCTGCGACAGAAGACGAAGAGGAGGAACAGGAGACACGGTGACGGTCGCCATATTGTGAGTGGCATGTGCGCTTCCGGAACAAACGAGACTCTAAAATTGACCTTGAACCGCTTTCGATAAATCGTTTTTTTTATGTACGTTTTGTGTTCATTTTGTCATCAGTCACTGGTGATAAAGTTCAACAGTGTCGGCAAATAAAAGTGATGCCATGTGGTTTAAAACTTTAACTCAGTTTAATTTACCTCTGAAAATATTTCAAACAAGTTCATTTAAATGATTTTTTTATGAAATACCTAAATTGCATTGTTCTTTTGTTTAGTCAAAACTTAACATCAGTTTTATTTACATTTTTTAAAATAAAAATGTAAAAAAGGGGAGAAAGATATATCATTTGTCCATTTTGACAAGTAGAATTAATTTCATGAAGAAAAAAAAATAGTATAAAATCTGGGCTTGTCTGTGTGGGGAAAAAAAACCAAAAAAAAAAACCTTGAGACATCAAACAGAAAAGTGGGCTTTTTAAATTGCAGCAATCTAAAACATGGAAAGTGTAGAGGGGTTATTGAGCAAAATATCACAGAACCTCCCATTTTTTTCAGCAAATAGAAAAAGATTCCACAGCAAATCCTATAAGTGATGATGCTGAAAATCAAAGGTTCTGTGATCATACTTTAGCTTTCTGATTATGTGTCGTCTCATTGCACTCCCCACTGTAGTTTACCGTAATATTTCTGCATGTACTTTTTTGCTCCTTTTCCACAGCTCTAATTAAGAGTGCAAGCCTGTAAACTCCTACCAACTAATAATTCATCACCACTGTCCGAATGTCAGGGTGTGGAGGGATGTTCTTGCTGAGCAGCTAATTGAATAAAAACATCTTAGGTTTCTGAGGGATGCCGCAATTTCTGTTGGACTGCAGGCAGAAATACATTGAAGAAACCATTTTGAATACACTTTCAAAATTGCATGAATTTTGTGTAATATTCATGTTCTACTTGCAACATTTTTATAACAAAAGTAAGCAGATTACGTTTCCAGGCTGTGATGGACTGTATCTGTTGTGCTGACTTCAGCTCAGGGACTGAAAGGCAGGGACAGATTATGCTTTATGTTCTGTGAGCTCTGGGTGGCATTCATTCAGTGACTGATTGTTTCACTCTAACCTTAGCGATGTCCATGTTTTATTTCTCTATTTTGTGTCTTTAAACCAGATGTGGTAGCAAACCATTTTACCTGTGAGCCCCTGACTAGGATCTGTTTATAAACAGTTGACAGGATCTGGAGATTAAACTGATCCCTTTATTGAAAAGCAGTGATGGGCTGCCTAATTCATACAAATTATGTTTCAGGACCACATGGCAGCTGTGAAAGAAACCACAGGAAAGAGATGGAATATATCTCAGCCGACTGTGAGGGAAAAGAGCAGTTTGGTGTGTATCAGACCGGGAACAAAGAAACTGGTCCCGTCTCTTTGCGGGCCAAGGCACGGATTTAAGCAGGATCAGCTCCATCATCCCTCCTCAAAGCAACTGCAGGTACTACACTTGCCCCAGCTTACAGGTCCTGACAGAGAAAGCCTGTGTATTTTCTCACTTCTTGTGTTATTGCTCAGGCTCAGATAAAAGCGGAAAATGAGGAGGTACAAGAATTACTTGAGCCTTTATTGAATCAAGACAACGCTGTCATGAAGGTAAAGCATAGCATACGATGCCTTGAAAACGTTTTATTTGATCTGATATTTTGCATTTTGACAGACCAACACACATAATGGTGAATTGGGAAAAAAAATGAAACACGGTTTTCAAAAATGTTTGCAAAAAGAAGTCTTAAGAGCTAAATGAACATAAATCTCAAAACTCAGAAATGTCCATAAATACTTTTCATTCAACCAGTCTAAATCTGAGATATCTTGCAAAGAAGAATGGCCTAAAATTTCAGTCTTAAGATGTCCCAAACTGGGACATCTTGTGTACTAGACACAACTATAGCACATTCTGTGCAATGAAAAGTTGTTCTACATTTCATTGGATTAGGGGCCAGAATACAAATATATAAAACACTTTACAGATTGAATGTTAAGCAGTGGAATGCCTGCATTCCGTTTTTACATCGGCTTTTTTGGGTTAAGGTGTCGAAAAAGTTGGTAAAGGCATGCGTTGTTTTCCTTGTTCATAACAAATGTCCCACTTCGTTTTGGTGTACCACACAAATTCCACCCAAATACAGAAAAGTTTGTGTTTGTAATATAACAAAACATAGGAGTTGAGGGATCTGACACGGTGCAAACTATTCACCCGCTCCTCTCATTCTGGCTCAAATCTCCCTCTTTTTGCTTTGCAGGAGATAGAGTCTTTCCTGGCTCAGAAAAACATAGACGAGCTCAGAAAGAAGGAGCTCATACACAAGCGCTGGACTGAAAATGTGTGGTTTCCCATCCAGACGAGAGTGGAGAAACATACCGCCTCCTGCTACTTCATGGACTTCATGAGACACCAAATCATGCACAGTCATTACCTCCTACACTGTCAATCTAAGGTGATCCTCAGTTTTCACTACCTGCCTTAACGGTGAACTCGACTGTGGGGACCAGTAAAACGTCCTTCTGTCTTCAACAACATAAAAAGACTTAAACATGCAATGATGTGACAATTACATTCTCTCCTCCATCCATAGATAAGAACAACAGGCTCAAGGGAGATGCGTCAATTAAATCTTCAATTAAAAAAAAAATTAAGAGAACAGAGACTATGCACCGCTTGTCAAGCAGGTAATATGAGCAGCTTATTAAATCAGTTGCTGGTTCAATATGCTGGATTCTAAAACCTAGTGAAACAAAAGGGATAATTGTGTTATTCTTTATTATGTTACATGTTTGATGTTTTCCCCCCTTTGCTGTAGAACCTAAACCCGCCTCCAATAAAACCGTGGCGCAACCTCAGACTGGTTGCTCTCTCGCCAACTCTGATGTCTCAGGCTAACCAGCTTGTTCAGACCTTGTAGTCTCATCTGTTTCCTGCATTCATCAAAGCTCCAGAAAAGGATGAAGTCAAGGAAATCGAAGAAGCTGCCAGTTTTCTAGATGTGAATGTTTCCAACCAAGAGGTTTACCACATCTAAACTCACCCTTAGCAGTGACTGCATCCAAATAAAACCTACGTATGTTGCTGTCACGTAAACTTTCATTGACAGCTCCCTCCGAGATCTTCAAGGGTCAAATAATTGAACTACTTGGTAACAGTGAAAAGGACAAAAACAGTTTAATTTATACTACTTTGCATATTTATTGGTATATTTTCAAATTCAATTTGAAATTCTGAAATTCAGGATTACAAGTTGAAGTTGTGTGCAACATCAGGTGCTGTGTACTACTGTATATTGACATGGAAGGAACTGTGCAACTATATGTATATTTGGCAATGATGCTTGTGACATTTCATCTCTTCTGCCGGTGATAAAATAGCCCTAGTCAAATATATTGGTTAATACATTTAGTTGCAAAAATTGATCCATTTAGCAAAACTATACGGTTTTATTCAAAAGTATTTTTTTAAGATTTTGATTTCACTGTGAATAAGAAAATATTGGAAATTTGTTTTGCTACAGTTAAAACTGGAATTGATTATAAAATGTATTGTTTGCTGATGCAAAACGCCACAGGGACAGCAGGACCCAGACTATTCAGCTGCATAATTTACAACAGACTGGCAATGTTCAGCACATAAATCTCCTCCATCAATAAGTTAAGTGTCAAATGTCCGACGGGGTTCATTTGGTTGCCTCGTAGAGCTGGAGGTCCAGTTTGACCGACACTTCTCCGGTTGGGACTTCGTGCAGGAGCAGGCGGCGGGTTGCCGCTCCTTTACTCTCCATGTCTTTCTTTATAGTCGCAACAGGAACCTCAGCGCGACCCAGAAAATCTGAAGAGAAAGATATCTGTCAAGTCAGTGAGCTGCTTCAGGCTTCACCATCATCAGCTGCTACTAAATCTTAGCTGAGTGTGAATATTTGAGGCCAGCCTCTCAGCAGGGTGGATGTCTTGAATAATTTTGGTTAAGAACAAATTGGTGAAAAGATGGAAACAGTGACACACAAAAATAATCTGGATGAGTTTGAGACTCGTCAGCTAATGTAGAATTGCCTGCACGTCCCTTTTATATGTAATTGTCAATGTTAGGGTGATGCTGTGATTGAAATGACTTCCTATTTATTTTCTGAACCAGAATTACTTTGCAGTATTACTTTTGTAAAAATAAAATTAAATGTGTGGCATTTATTTTTGGTGTAAGCTTTAAAATAAACATTAGGTTTCAAATAATTTACAGACTAATTATCTGTTATTCAGCTGTGGCCAAACAATAAGAGTTTATTCATCTAAATCACATTTACCAGCTATAATTGACAGTTTGTGCAATAGAAAAATCCAGTCCAGGCAACACAAACATAAACTAGATTTGGACAACATATTTCATGGCTTCCTCTGTTTTTGTCTCTGTCGTCCACTTTTAATAACTTAATTTTTCCACTTTGAGATCTTCCATTATCCCAGGATTCAATTGAATTAAATATTTACGACAATCTAGATATTACTGCTTTCAAGTTCGTGTTCTCACTGGAAAGTACTGCTAACTTAGTAGTTAGCAGATCCTTTATCTTAACAAACCTTGCTAATGTGTCTGGTAGATTGCTAGAAAACGATTAAAGGCCGACATGACTCATGTTTTCAGATATCACTGACCGTCGGGTGAGAATTGGTCTTTCTCGAACACAGTGATGCTCAGGACGTCCTGGTAGATGTCTTTGATGAAAAACTGACAATTGAAGTTCCACTTTGTGTTCAGAGTGTCCAAGACCGGCCGAGACGTGTAGCACTGAGCCCCCATGGTCAGCTCACAGTATGGATTGCTCTTTCCTAAAGAAGGAAGTAAAGTTCAGCTTCTCTTAACACTGATGATTAATTGATGGAAACTGATTTGCCTTCTGTTGTTTCTGTCTCACCGTTGGGCTTGCAGGCCTTCAGCTCCTGAGCTTCTATGACCGTCACCAGCAGGCGACCGATTCCACTAGACTTTAAGGAGCGCGCTGAAATAAATGGGAAAGGACTGATGTAAATATGTATTTTTTACATTTAGGGTTAGAGTTAGGGTTATTCAGATTGCAAATGGCACCAATAGTGTGTGTTTAACCTTGGTATGCCTTCTCTCTCTTTTTCTTCTCTGTTTCTATGAAATGTTCAGAGGCTGCTTTAATTTTTTGGACCCATGCTGTCCTACCAAAACAAAGAAGACATGTTAACACCCAGGGTATCATCATTACTGCAGGTCATAGTGCTTTGAAGAGCAGTATCCGCTCACGACTACCTCTCGCTTAAAGTCTCTGTTTTCAGGGTGTAGACTCGGTCAATGTGCGAGACGTGAAAGAGCGGCTCATCACTGGACGGGTCCGCCGGCATTTTTACCAAAACCTCATTGAGAAACAACGGCTGGGAAGACACACAATGTGTAAACACGTAAAAAAAAAAAAAAATAAATAAATAAAAACTATCACTCTCCAGAAGCTTAAAGGCATACCGTCTTGTAGATCTTCAGCTGTATGTTGGTTTTGGGGCTGAACAGTTTTTCTGATCCTGAGGAGGAGAAAGGCTTGGCGCTGTGTGTGAGGAGGAGGAAATCATTGAAGAGGAAAGCCCACAGCTCTCTGCTGCTTTTGGTTTTGAACAGCCGGCCACTGTGGAGCAGCTTGCGTGGCCCGAGGCAATTAGTCAAAGAGCTGAAGACCAGGTGCTGCAATAGAGATGGAGAGAAGCTTAAAGGTGACCTATTATGCTTTCTTGAACAAGTTGGGATGGATCAATGGGCTCTACAAAATGTGGTCATTACATGTTTTGCACAAACTGCTTCTCAGATTATGAGATTTTAACCTGTTTAGTTTTTTTCTTTTCTAGTTTTTTTAAGGTCACTTGTTCCTTTAAAACCAAGTAAGCTGTGGTGACCACGCCCCTCAACTCAATGTTTACACTCGCATGTGAAAACAGCTGAAAACAGATGTGCAATTGTACAACTATACATCCTTGAAAAGCAAAAGTGGGACTTCCTGCACAACCAGCAACAAAGCAGCAAGTGGTTTTTGAATGGGAAGTCAACATTTGTCTTTTCCAGCATCCATTGTACAGTGTATACAGAAGTAAAACCAGCTGACCAAATATGCTGGAGCTCCGCTTGGTTTGCTAGATGATGGGCTGGGCTCTGCCGGGGTTGCTAGATGTCGGCGCAGTGCCCGTCAAATTTGAGGTTTTCCAGAGACCAAAAAATATTAGCTTATTGCCCCCTTTAAGCCCCGGCTCGACAAAGATCTGCCACATTTGAGTGTGTTTACCTCTATAGGCCCCTCACACTGAACGTGGTTCTGTATCCACTCCAGGCGGTCAGCATTCTCCTTTTCTCTGACCGCCTCGTTGACCTGAGAGCACAGCTCCTCGGCTCGCTCCAGGGCTTCTCGGAGCGGCTCGCGGTCCTCATGGCCGTCTGGAGTGTGCTCAAGAATCTGAGCAACGGGAAGGCAATGAGGCGCAAGGTTACCACAGGAAGTAAAGGAGAAAGAACAGAGATGGCGATAAGTAGGATGTGATGAATGTACATTCTTTATGAGCAGAGGGTAGCGGGTGAGCCTCTGCATGGGCTTCAGCAGGAAGCTGGACAGTGGCATTCCTTTGCAGCGGTAGTTTGTGGCAACCTTCTGCTCAAAAAGGAAGGAAAATATTAGGAAAATAGATACCATGATAAAACATTTGCCCATGAATTGAGTATTCGTCATTTGTACCTTGAGGAAATCTTTGAACTCAGGCTGGTTGTGGGTTTTGGTCTGCAGGAGAGCTGCAGCGTTGAGCTGGGAAGAGCAGAAGCAAACGTACGGCTGCATGTGAGCTAGCTCTGAAGCCAGCAGGTCTCCAATCCGCTGAACCGGCATGTTCTCTCCTCCCGTTTGCTTACGTTCACGCAGAGCACTGGCGCACACAAATGGTGAAGATGTTTTACACATTTTGTTTGAACATGCGGCGCCTTGCAAAAGGTAAATGGTCTGAGCTTATGTAGCGCTTTTCCAGTCATTGTGAAAAAGCGCTGTGCATGCCACTTGGAAGTCTGTCACATCTTTTCACATAACCAACTCAAAACTTGTAAATTTTGTGTAAATAAAGTAGAAATTGGAGAATTTTTTTTTTTTTACAATTTTGAAATAAAAATCTGAAAACTCCAGTGAGACACCCAGTCAAAATAAAACTACATGTCTTTTAGCTGTTTCTACCAGCTTTGCAACTATAAAGACAGATATTGTTCCACTTTTTTCCCCAAACACCCCTATTGATTGTAGACTTTGTACACGACCAATTTTCAAGCTTGCTACAGATTCTAGTTTGAATTTAAGTTTTTACTTTGACTGGGCCATTCCAAAATATGATTATACTTTGATTGGGAAAAATAAAAAATCGCTGTAGTCAGGACTACAGTTCTTCCTCTAACTGCTTTTTTCTTCAGAGTTGATATATTTATTTCCATGCATCGGCCAATCAACTTTTAGCAGTTTCTCTATCCCTGGAGCTCAGCATGTTGCCTCCATCACCATCAGGGTGACTTCCACACAATGTACAAAAAATGTTTTTGTAAACAGTGTATTAGAACAACCCAAAAGAGCTTTTATCAGTGTGTGGAGTAAATTTATGGAATGGTTTGAATGATGAGTTAAAAAAATGTACAAATATATACCAGCTTAAAAAAACTGTTTAAAAAGGAGCTTATTGGGAATTATGTTTCATAAGAAGTGTTTCAAAGAACAAAAATGCTATTGGTGATTTTTTTATGAATAATTGTAAATTTAAAGATGAAAATCTGAGATTTAAGTCTCATGTAATGTGGAAATAACTTAAGCTTATCTGGTGCTTAAGATAAGAGATTTAAATGTTTATAAATTGATGAATATGAGAGGGGCAGGAAATCATAAGATCTTGTATCTTCTACCTGCTCCTTTTTGAACAGATAATTGGGTATGATAATTTGTTTTAATTATTTTTTTTTCTTGCTTTTACTTTTGTTTGTTTGAAATAAATAAATAAGTAAATAAATAAATGTAGGCTGAAAATGTCCAGTCCACAGCACCATCTTTCATGTGTCTACTCTGTCCTACATGACAGATCTGTCTTGCAACTATACTAATGAAAAGATGCA